TACCGTTCCTGTGGTATGCGCTGTTTTTCATGTCTCCTCAAAGACTGAAAGTGAAAGAATCCCTCAGGTTGAGTGCAGTGTAGAGAGTAACACGACCCTCCTCCTCCTCTTTGGTGCGAGCGAGCGGTCAGTCACGTGTGTGTAGGATGGCCAACTAAGGAGCTGCCCCTGGAACTTACGCGATCGGCAACCGGCCGTTTTTTGTCTTATTGCAATCGGAAAAACCCGAAGACTCGAAACAGGTGAACTACTTGACTAATTCCAGTACAGAACCTATAGGATGTTGCGCATACGCGACTGAACAAAATGAACGAATCGTTCAAGAACGACCCAACACTACTGCAGGAGAGAGCCTTTGATTTGGTGCACTTCTTCAGTGAAACAAAGGTTTGTATACATTTAATTTAATTTATAAAGTATTGACTGTGCTGTAAATTATATTATTTTACGCAACGCAACATAAGGACGAGATGTCGGTCAGCAGCGGTCATTTCTCATTATAGAAACGCCTTTTGCCTTTCATTACAATAACTGATTTTATTCGTTATAATACTTAATTTAATTTAATTTGATGTTTAAATATGTTTTATAATCTCAGTAGCCTACTGTTTGTTTATGGGCAGGTTATGGAGTCAGTAACGGCGTCTTTCAGCTACGAGTGAAACGTGAGGCGGCAGTCTGAGGTTCGCAGTTCCCCCAGTGAACAGCAGTCCATCGCCGGCTCAGATTGACGACACACCGGCACGAGAATTAGCGCTATTTCAGTGAAAAGTGATTACAGAGAACGGTTGAATACACTTAAATTAAAATGCTAATTTTAAATGTTACTTTTTTATTTCTAAAATGCTTGTTATATGAGTTTAAATGTATGTAATATTATAAACTATGCTGTATTCACCCAAATAAATTCAATTTGTCTTATATTTTGTCCATGGGTGTTCTTTTTTATCTTTTGATTACTGCTGTTGCCTCTAGTAATTCTGAGTGTGATTTTTAATTTCCAGCCCATTTTAAGCCAGCAGTATAATAGGTTTTAAACAATAGTTGACTTAAATAAAACAACCCAGCATGTTGGGTAATACATTTAACCCAACTAGCTGGGTCAAAATAACCCAGCATGTGTTCTGTCCAATATTTACCCAGTGCTGGGTTGCCAAATAACCGAAGTTAGGTTGTTTTTAACCCAGCATTTTTAAGTGTATATTTACATGCACAAAAAATACTCATTCCTTAAATGACCTGAATAACCACACCTGCTTGCAAGTAATAGTTATGACCTAATACAATTATGACCTCTTTTCTTCCCCCCATGGGTTGTTTTCAGATGGGTGAGGTGGAGTTGTCCTGTCTGGCTTATGCCAAAATGTACCTACATGCAAGTCAGTTTCCTCGTTGCAGTGTGAACGGCCTGCTGTTGTCCTCCAGTCCAGCAGGGGCAGCTGTATGTATCACAGACTGTGTGCCGCTGCTCCACTCGCACTTGTCTCTGGCTCCAATCACACAGCTCGCTCTTACACAGGTGAGTGCACCATTAATGAAGATATGCAGTGGGAAAATCAGAATCAGAATGAGCTTTATTGCCAGGTTTACACATACGAGGAATTTGTTTTCGTGACAGAAGCTTCCACAGTGTAACAGAATGACAGTGACAGAACAAAAAACACAGATAATAAAAAATAAA